GGATGCAGTCTTTTAAACTGATGACATTAATCTAGTTTCAATTCTTTGATTGATAACTTTTTCTTATTAAGATTTTTTAATTTTTCACAAAAGCTTCAAATCTAAATTCAATTCAAAATCAAGAAATAATTTGATGAACTTCTAGTCAGTGTATAACATCATGTACAGTATAATCAATGATTTTTATAAGATAAAAATTATTTCATCTTTTGCTTCTGTAACTGTAAAAATTGTTCCAACTCACTGCTAATCAGTTCAACTTCATCAAAATTCAACTAAAATTAATCTACAAATTCTTTTTTTGAGTAAACTATAACTCAATGCATATTCACACGAGCATAAAAGCTAGATCTAAGATCTAATCAAATTGTTTCATATCAAGTAAAATTACACTTTGCATGTTTTCTTGTCAAGTAAAGATTTATGATTATTATTCATAATATTTTCATGACGTGTGTTTTTTCAAACAACTAAACATTTTATGAAAAAAAATCCTATTAAATATATTTCAATATTTTCAAATTCAAGAATAATTAAATATTATCATAAAATATTTTTCAGAAAAAATAAATTTACACACTATAAAAAATTTCAAAAGAATCAGTAATTAAAAGAAATTTTCTAATATAGTTATCACTTAACTCTTACCACTAAATATATTTTTTTTCAACTGTTTGATTAAACAATGGGGATATCGTAAAATGCATAAGATAAGGACTATAAGGGCCTAGCCTGGTTCAATTTATTTCCTCCTTCTTAGGGTTCATGGGGTACTAGCACTTGAAGGGTGGTATGCCCATCAAGTTTTTTATCCACTTGGCAACCTTTTCATGTAATGAGGGGGAGCACAAAAACAGAGTTTTAGATCAGGGTGTTCAATGGCGGAACAAAGCGCCACAAAAGCAGAGAGTTTCAGCCAGATCAAGGAAAAATGACGGAGAAGTCTCATTGTAACAAGGCCAGATATGAGTCACAATATCTGTCCAAGGGTCAGGAGGGACGCTTAAGAGAGCCGGTTTCGCGGAGCACAACGTTCGTTCACAACCCCTTCCCCCGCTCCATATACTAATCATGACAAAGAGCTCGGCCTTTGAGAACATAGCACATCCTGCAGTGCACTTCACGTGCTCAGCAATGGCTCGATCTGCGCAAAGCAACTGCGCACAATGTCATACTCAGAGCGCTCATTGCTCTGCTGCCGAACGGAGAGGACAGAGAAGTAGATGATGTAGGGCAAGAAAGCACGCAGAGCAGAGCCCATGTGCCGGGCCTTGAAAGATGGCCTGTAAGCTGATGGATACCATGCACTGCCGAAACGGAAGTTGGGCAATTGTCGGTAATGGTGGAAGGCGGGACCCAAGCTCAAAAGCGAGCTGCGATACATAACAGCCGATGTATGAATTGCTGCAAGGCTAGTAGGTCCGAGACAGTACGACAAGAGTCCGATCCAGGAAACAGGCGTTCAGGGAATGTAGAAATTCGTTGTCTCCTTGCATTTCGTGATAGTCTGTCTCGTCGGCGGAGCACGTGTTCTCATGTTTGTTCCCAGACCCGGAATTCCTTGACCTGACTAGCGGGCTCGAATTGGCTCATGAGGTACTTAGATTGTACATTAGGCCTGTTCCGTAGGACTGATTTCACAAGCACCTCCGCCAGATAAGCCGAGCTCCACATGTCATTCTTGTTCGACACTAATGCTCATAAATGGAACTGACACGATTAGCAAGCGCTTGTGGTTTCAGACGCACATGCAGTCAGCAGTTTGTTTAGAAAGTTTGCACTTCCAACGATCCAGCTTCACAAACCAGTGTCTATCTGAACATTGAAGGTATGGAAAACTCGTCGCGTGAGCTTATCAAGTTTCACCGTCCAACTTCAAAACAGACATAAGCGCTGATCACTGGCCTCACTTAATCTATAACCAAAGGTTATCGCGTGCGAGAAAAATCTCCGAGCTCAGAGCTATCCTTGCGATCAGAGAGTATTACAGCGCACACCACGGAAACATGACCAGAAACAGCACTTCACTGACTTGCAGCTTTAGTCATGAGACTCAGTCAACTGCACACATTAAAGGCGGTCTTTGAAGTTGAAACAATTCGGCCCGTTTTCAGCAACAGGTCACGACCCATGGCTCCTAACAAAATTAAGTTCTGACTGGATATCATCAAAGTATTCTCTAATCTGGATTAACGACGTTCGATTTCTAGACGAAGATGATCTGTCATGGGGATGTGAGAGCGTGTGTGAATCTCGTTTTGACAACCTGTCATGAAGTCTAGAAATAAGCGAAACCTTTGGAGATTGTAGAAGCTAGCAGTGGTCTGTATGGAGAAATATGAATCGGGCGAAGGACTAGCTTTTGAGCATTAAGTTCTGCTCTGTCGTTGGAATAAATGTGAATCGATCTCCACGAGAGCGGCGGATGAGATTGGAAAACCAGGAGCGTCAGCATGGACATCAGCAGGATCAGGAGGTCCTGTCGTAGACGCATAGTGAACAGGAACCCTTGAGCTAGAGAAGCAGTGTGTATCTCGTGAGTTGCTGTGGAATAGCCCAACAATGGACGGTCCATCTTCAGCAGCGGTGGGGGCTCGAAAGGCTAGCTACGCAGCCTAGGCCACTGTTTCCTCGTGACAAGGACGAGGACATGATCTCTTGGCATAAAGGATAAACCAAACGAAAAGCAAAGTACAGAAGTCAGTGACGTCGGAGAGAACGTTTCGTTCTGTACCATCCACCGGTGATTCTTCGTTTTCACTCCTCGCCCAAGTTCCAGAAGAATCAAAAAAGTGCTTTAGCAAACGTCCACCGTAACTCGCTGAATGAGACCCTCGGTCACGTTTGCTCCAAATTTTCAAACCACAAAACTCCCAATACTCTCACCAAAAGGTACCGCAGCAATGTTTTTTTAGTCCTATCCAAGCCCTCTGTCGGATTGAATACAAAAAGGCAAGACATTCAAGTTTTCCAGGAGATGCAAAACCTTCAAGCAAAAGGTTGCACCCTTGAGCAGCTGCCTGAACTAACCTTGTTCATTGCAAGGACGAATGTGCTTGTGACGGGTGTGAGCATCTGGATTTACAGAATTCCGGAGAAGACTGGTAGAGTTCCATTTCAAACGTCTGCTCAAGAGCGTCGAGGAGAAGCTGCAACTGTTTAAGTTTAAGCTACTCAGCAATAAAGACGATCGTGAACTTACCACTCGTCACATGGACGTTCGTCCTTGTACGCAGGACGATGATCTGACCACCCGCACCTTTTAGAAAAGCACCTCATACTGGTGCTGCTGGCCTACGCAGGCTCCGCCTACATGGAGTAGGAAGATTCCTGCTTTTGTTCTCCATTTCAAAGAAATAAAATATTGCCCCAAACATTCCTCCTAGTGACATGCGAATCGATTTTCAAGCGAGATAAAGTTTGTCTGCTTTAGTTGGAGCTTCAGAGTCGAATCGCTGTGGAAGCCCGAACATAATATGTGCCCCAAGAATCTACCAAAATCTAAGTAATATTTGTTCACATTAGAAAAGCCTGCGTCGGCTGTCGACTCTATAACCCCACCCAACCAAAGCCTTCGATTGACATTTGGACGTTCAGAGAAGCAACAAAATCTATGAGCTGGAGGTGTGACAAGTCCTGGGTCCAAAAACCGAGTGTCTGAGCGTTTGTACAATTTTAATTCCATGTCTCAAACAAGTCTAGGAGTAGTAGTACTTTGTTGAGGCCCTCCTGTAAAGAGTTTCGTGATACACCCAGGCTTCCATGGATCTTTTGGTCAACTTGACTTGTGGATGGGTGCAGGATAAGCTTGGCGTGTCCCCACGAAAACTGGCCAAATATATGTTCTTAGCAAGGAAAAGTCTGGGTGACAAATTAATATCGTCCAGTGCCGGAACAGGGGTCAATCCAACACGACCACATCGATCGCCACCCACAGCATGCATGCAGGATTGTATTTCTCGACTAACGAAGTCGTCAAAGCTTGTCTGGGTTGTCCACCCTCCAAGATTCTCCACAAGTCACAAGTGGCTGAATATCCTGTGCTCCAAGATAATTGAGGAATCCGATGATCACCTACCTCACCATGCTTCTCTCTTTCATGTCCTTGATTTTGTTTGGATTAACTGAGGCTTCTCTACTCACATATCAGTCCGGGTCCAGCCACTGGACTCGACCCGAGTCAGCAACTTGCTCCAATATGTTGCTACCATCACAATCCACTCGTGAGTGAGAATCTAGTCCTAGCCGTGGTTTTTAGCTGGTTATGATGATTCTTGTCGCTGCCCTGACAAATCCGTATGCTGTCCAGACCAGATTCTTACTTCGACCCTTGTTTTCTCTCCATGAGAGCATGTGCCTCGTGCCCCGTTCTCCTCGGGCTGTGGCAAAAGAAGTGGAAAGAGGGGCATCTTTCTTCGGCTCGTTTGTGCCGGGCCGGACTAGATATTTAGAGGTTTTGCATAAGCTCGGCAAACTTTTGTAGAAAGAAAAGCATCAAATACAGCTCTTTAGCATGACGGCTTTCCCGGGACACCGGAGCAGATAAGCTCCGCAGCTCTGAGCCCCTTTGACACGCTTCGGTACCAACAGTGTTCGTTCAGTGCGCGTCATGGCTACTATGGCATTTCCTTTCGTGTTTCGATATTATCTTCGCAGTATACCTGAAAGCTTAGGAGAGAAGAACGATAAAGGTAACTCTGTCTGGGCCGGGCCGATCGGGATTCAAGCTTCTGAGTAACTGCAAGTTTTCTGACCTTGATTGACCATTATGATGCATTCCGATTATCTAAGAAGGGTTCAAAAACTTGGTCAAATCAATTTCTGTTTCGTTCCATACATTCGTCAAGCTTGTTCTTGTAGGTCGTTGCCCTCTCGTCAGATCATAAGAGGAAATTTGGCATACCGGACATGTGTGCACATGCAGCTCAAGGGCCCCTCCTGTCAACTGAAGTCAAGCTCTTGCACATACCATAGACCGGAAGAATTGAGATAGAGAAATCGTAGAACTAAGAGATCTGAATGATCGATTTATTCAACAACCAATATGGACAGCAGTAGCTGTATGTGAATTGAAAACAATAGTCAAAGTACAATGGATGCACAATATTACAAAGATCAATGAATCAGTTATGTATATCTGCATGTCGACTAGAACTGGCTCTTCTCCGTAGATTATCTCTCGATTCGGTCTTGCTTGAAGGAGTATGGTGTGAGCACGCGTTTGAAGGGTTGTGCTCGTCTGGCTCACATCAGCATCTGCAGATTCGTCCGGCCAATTTGTCTGCTCTCCTTGTAGTTCCATGCAGTACTCCTAAAAAATCCTTGCTTGCAGAAATAAATCACATGCCATGATCGATCAAAGCTGGCTAGCTATAAAAAAGCTACCTAAATGAGGATTCTCCCAACATGTATTACAAAAGTAGCAAAAGAATGAACGTGAAGGAATAAAAAAGAGCGTGAGAGTATCCAGTTTGAGCAAAGGCTCGAGAAAAATCCCACGCCATGATCGATCGCAACTAATTCGATGTGATGAGACAGCTGTTGGAGAAAGTCTGCTCCTTTCATCCTTCCATGTCCTTAGCGTGAGTATCAGAAGTAGTAAAGAGGAGACGGAGGTGCCGAGTTTTTTCCTTTTTTGTAATACTGTTCACCTCCTGCCTTCCTTCTCCTTCTCCTTCTCAATCTGCTCCACCTCATGTCGCAGCGGCTGCTGCAGGAGGGGCGGCTTCTGCAGGAGCGGCCTCCACCTTCTCCTCAGCTGCAGGAGCTGCAGCAGGTGCATCTGCAGCGGGAGCTGCTTCGCCGGTGGTGCTCAACGGCTCCTTTTCCTGCTTGCTCTTTATGCAGCCCATTCTCACGATCTGACTGCTTCAGATGAATTTCGTATTTCGTACGAACAATCAATCGACTGTCACCTCCCAAGAGTTGGTCTCAGGAATCCTCCCTGATAGCTGTCAGCAAGAGCCCTCGATCTGAAGCTCGCGCTGAAAGGCGGGCAAGGATTTGCCTCGAGCTAAGGGAACTAAAGTCTCCACAACAAGGAGATGACCGATTGAGAAAGAGAGAGAGGGACAGACGTACAGGTGAATGATCTCGGGGGATGCAAGAGGAGCAAGCAGCGGCTGCGGTGGTGAGTGAGTAGCTGCTGCTGAATCAAATGAGTGCTGGGTTGTAGGAGATCCTGCTATAAGGTGACGATCGCGTAAAGCAGATGAAAGAGTGTAGTGCAGGCAGAGAGCTTGAGTGAGTTAGTCAGTGCTTCCGGCTGAGAGCGTGGGGTAGCTAGCGTACTCAGCCATGTTCCTTGTCTTTCATGGCTGGCTGGAACCCGCACCTGAACCAGAGCACTAACTCTTCCATCCCGGTGTCTGTCTATCCGTAGCCAGGATCTTGGTTGAATTCTCTTCCCGCCCGCTCTCTCTCTCTCACTAAGCCAAAGTTCCACTACCAGGAGGCCTGAATAGCAGCGGTCTTTCGCATGTCATCTTGTCACCTGCGCCGCCAGTATTATGTTCTCTCCCTCGAATTTGTCTTGTTACTTACACCAACTGGCACCAGTGTCGTATGCGATTGAAACACCACGGCCAGCGCATGGTGACGGACGTTCAAAGTGTGAGACAGGCTGGTTCATAAGTAAAAGCTAGAAAAAAAGCTAAGTTCTGCAGATTCTGCACCCTCCGCTCTGCCCGTTTGCTGCTCCTGCTCGTTCCGGGGCCACCACCACCGTGCTTCTGGTCGAACAATTCTTGCCGTGACAATCCTTTTCTCTTTGGCCAACGGGCCACAGGGCCACTGCCGGCCACGACCATGCCCCTTCCACCCATCGCATAACGATTCTCGTCAATTCTACTCGGCCTTCTTACAAGCATCTTCTGTGGCAAATCCGAAGTTGTAAGCAACGTCATCAGAATGGAAACCAACTATTTCTTCGGTATCTTCCCGAGCCAGCTACAGCTGCTTCTGAAGGCAAGATGAAAAAACTGCTTAAAGGGGATTTGTGTAGATATTTTCAAAATATGGCACAGATCCTAAGGAAACAGGCCAACGTCAAAACATGGCAGGGGCGATAAACAGGCTCCGGCAGAGCTTCAAGCTCACAGCCGTGACATTCAGAAGAGGCTAAAGCTAGGCTTGACCAGAATAACAAGACAGACGAGTAGCTCACAATCCAAGCTGATTGTTGGCGCACGTGAAAAGAAATATCGAGCTCTTTCAAGCGTATACCGAGAAAGGCAACAGGAAATGGCGACGACAGCAGCTCACGACCAAAACCAAGACCTCGGGACAGTGAAAGTTACGCCGGTTGAGGACGATGTAGACTTTTTCCCCAAGAGCGAAAACCAAAGACCTCGGTATCTGGTTGCCACCAGCAATAGTACGAAATGCGGAATCTTTGGTTACATGAATCTGCTCGGCGGAAATCAAAGTAGCAGACAGAAAAAGCATGAAATATTAGATAAAGTTAGTCACGACATTCGAACACAAATTTTACCTGCATACTGCATACGGATGAGTGAAATCCCTGAATGTAAAGAACAACAAGATATTCCAATAAACAATAATAAGTGTGAGCACTAGGCGCTATGGATCGCTAGCTCGCAATGCTGAAAACAGTACAAATACTAGGGGCGAAGTCTTTGGATCGGACTTCTTCAGAACCACTCTTAAATTTACAAACTGTTGCTGTATTCAAGTTGATATGCCGTTCTTCAACAACATAATTCATGAGGCATGTGACAAAGGGGAAAGGGGAAAGAGGAACATGGGGTAGAAGGGCGATACATCTGCCACGATGAAATACGAAAGTCCCACCAAAACATAGACAATGACTGATCCGTGCACTTCTTGAACACTTTACTTATCTGAGAGAGCATTGTAAATTTATGCTCAGTACTCGCATGTGAGGAGAAAATTCTGAAAAACAGTAACGCCTGACTATGCCCAGTCCTGTGCTCGCAGTATCCCCGTCCATACAATGTTTGTACAAACAATACGACACCCGAGAACAGGCAGCACAGGTCGAAGTTTGACCGAGATACGAGTTCGATATCACTACAATAGAACCATTGCAGACTCTAACATCTAAATGTTTGTCTTGAATCCCGACAAAGTGCCACAAAGTTCGACAATTTCATGGTGGACTAAATACAACGGACCCGGGGATTAAATTAAGTATGATTTGAGATATTCCCACCAAACGGATGCTTGTACATACTTGCAGTTGGATTTTTCTCCCAGAAGGAATGCTGATAACCCAAACCAGCAGACTCCCCATCCACAAACGCTTCATCGCTGTGAAACAATCTTGCTTTACTGAATCCTTTTCATGTGCTTTCAGGGTGTGAGAATACTCGGCGACAGCTTCGTAGCTCAGCATCCGCCATGGAGAAGAAAAAAATCGAAGCACCAGCATTCCACAATTGCAAGTATGACCCCAGCTCGACAGCTCTATTAGAACCGGAGTACATATTCGAAGCCGATCAGGCTCAGAGTACTGAACGAAAAGATGACTTCTCATGCGCCGACAATACCCTCTTCTTTGCCCAGAGCTGCGACAACCTTCTTCAGGATAGCCTCCACTGGCTGATGAGCGTTTTCCACCGCTTTGGACACACGAGTCCACCGTTCTCCGTGCCTTGGCTCAGCTGCCGAGCAACGTTTCAGGACTTCATGCTGTAGTTCTTCAACTCCGTGCTGTAATTCAAATTTATATAACTGTGCCCAAAAGTCACCTACATCAGGTGCTAGTGTGACGGCACGATTCAGCCAGTTTCTTGCTTTGTCGACCTTCCGATCATGCCAAAAGAGCTTGGCCACTGCAGCAATGACAAATGGATCGTGATCACATCTTTTCAATGCATCTACACTCTTGGTTTTCCTCTGTTGCCTGGGTGCCATCTCGATAGATTCAGCCCACAACAAACCACTGGAAGGGCATTCTTGAAGAGCCTTCGCCATCAATACTTCTGCTTCCTTCTTGTTTCCGGCTCGTGCTTCTGCTCTAATGGCTGCTAACCACAACTCAGGGTTATGTTGGTTTTTCAGTCGTCCCTTGGTCAGAACAGCTCTTGCTTTACTCAGACCTCCAATTTTCTCCTCTAAGTGGGAAGCACACAACCAAAGAGGTGTGCTGTTAGGACAGTGTCTAAGAGCCCTGTCGTAAACATCTCTTGCCGTCTCTAAATTTCCCAGACGATCTTCCAGCTGCCCAAGCATCAACCATAGTTTGTGAAAACCAGGAAATCTTTGCAGGGCTTCTTCCAGCAGCTCCTTCTCCTCTTTCACATTGCCCAACTCTCGCTCCACAATAGCTGACTTCATCCATACCCTTTCAGTTCCACCCCTCTCACGGGCCTTCCCAAGCAGCATTCTTGCCCTTTCTGGCTCGTGATTTTCGAACTCTAGCTTGAAGGCAGCTAACCAAATCTCCTCAGAATTAGGGATAGCCATATTCGCCTCTTCTAAAATAGCCCGAGCAGATGGGACATCTCCGGCTAGCCACTTTTCCTTGGCACCCATAAGCCACAAGACTTCTGCCTGTGGACAGTAGCCCACCGCTTTCTTCAATAGAAGATCCAGGGACTCCCTCGTTCCATGACTCTTCTCCAGCTGTGCTGCTTTAAGCCACACGCTTTTCTTGCCTGGGAACACGCTCAATGCATGGGCGTACACGGCTCTGGCCGTTTCAATTGAGCCTCTTTTCTTGCATTCATCAGCATCTGCCACCCAGGTCCTCTTCCTGTCTTCCTCTTCAACTCCAATACCTACGGTGGACCGGATAATTGCTCGACATGTTGCCACAGATCCTGCTCTTTCTGCTGCTTCGGCCTCCTTCATCCATGCATCCCTGTCAATAACGACACCTTGGCCCTGCAGAGATCGTATTGCCCTATCTACAATCTTCATAACCATAGAAGCATTTCCATTTGCTTCCTCGAGTTTGGCAGCAGTTATCCAAATCGTAGGTTCAGTTGGAATAGTTTCACGAGCTTTATTTAATACTCTCTTAGCGTTTTCATAGGTTTCCAAACGAGCGAGAGCAAGCCACAGCTCCACATGAAGTGGGCAGCATTCAACAGCACGGTTCAAAAGTACTCTAGCATTTTCCTCATCGGCCAGCTCAACCACAGCTTTCCACAACCTAACTGAGTCGGGAATATGTTCCAAGGCCTTTCTCAAAACCCTACTCTTCGCAATATCATCATGTTCTAATCTGGCAGCCTGCATCCAGAGCTTGACAGAATTGGGTATTGCATTCACACCTCTTCCCAAAACGGCCTTTGCATTGTCGGGAGTAGCTAGCCTACAACTTTCCAGCCAAACGTCCTCATTCTTAGGACACTCCTCGCAACCCCTCTGAATAAAATCTCGAGCAGCCCCGATTTTCCCAGCAACCTCTTCCAACCTTGCCGCAGCAATCCATCCAGGAGCGTGTTTAGGGTTAGTCTGAATTACAGATTTCAGAAGCAATCGAGCTTTCTTGATGTCAGAAATCTCTGCATCACTCGTAATTTTCATGCTCTTCAAATCAGTGAGATAACCTTTGGGATCGACGACAGTCAGTCCACTCACAGAATCCGACAACCGGTCAAGTTTCAAAGACAACACAGTGCCCCTGCCCTCTCCAACGGCGGTAAGATCAGTAACAGGAGTTTGCCCATAAGGAGTCTCTGCCCCATTCGCTGCTCTGCTTCTAGGGTCCAGAGCAGTGACATGCTCCTGCTCTTGCTTGGCTCTCTCCAACAAGGTGTCAGGAACAGGGATGAAACTCTCAAACCTCTTTTTCTTATTACGCATGGAATAATCACCAATTTCAGGGATACTTTCCCACTCTTGGGTGGACAGGGTTACCAGCTTTCTCTTCAAATCCGCAAACTGCTCAGTAATTTTCGGATTCGAAGCCCTGTATTTTTCTATCTCCTTCTTCAAACGAGCTTCGCGTCTATCTTTTCTCCGAGAGTCCATACGCTTGTCGATACTCTCCCAAACCGCGTCAGCTTCCTTATCATCCTCATCGTACTCCCCGGTGGCGAACAGCCCCACATCATTCCCTTCAAACTCGTCGAATTTCTGGTTCTCATCGTATCCCTTCTCCTCTGCTTCCTCCTCCTCCTCCTCCACTCCACCCTTCCCTCTCCCGCGCCCTGCACCAACCGGAGGTGCTCCAGCTCCTCCGATGGTAGTCGCTGCTCGGTCCGGCAAATCTGGGGCAGCTCTGGCAGGTCCGATATCAGAACGAGTCGTGAACCCGGTGGCTCCTCGTCCCAGACCGGCGACATAATTTGGAGGTGGCCTCGTGTTCAGAAAATCCAACCGCGGTTTCGGCAACACGGGGGCCTGCATTGTGGCAAAATTTCTTCGCCTTCCCGCTTCACCACCGCCGCCCTCACCGCGTCAGAGCTTGGATTCTTCCTCGCCCGACTGAACGCGGCGATTCACGACAGCCGATTCCAATTTCCTGCTTCCCGCTTCCTCCGCCCTAAACGCCTATGGGCAACAAATTGTCTTCGACCCCGATCTCCGATCACGAACAACCTTTCTGGACTCAACCGTGGGCTCTGGGCGTGGGAACTTGGACGAGAATCCACAGAAAATGATCACTGCCCAGTCCATACACGCGCAAATGTCCAGCTTCTCAGACCAATTTGCTTCCCGGTGGCGGTAGCGTTGAATTCCTTCGTGGGCCGTGCCATTGACTGGCTTCCTGGTTCAGAATCGGCTCATTCTCTAGTGGGCTTTCTTGGTCATACCCGTCACAACCGCCACGTAGGCTACGCAATTTCCGCGTCAAGCTGAAGAGAGTTTCTTACGATGAGCTTTCCCGACAGGAGATAACTTCATTCGGCGACTTCGCATGCATGGTCGCAATGGCTGAAAGCCAATCTGAAAGCTTCACTATCAAGGTTAAGGGACTATCTTCAAGAAGAATTGGGGGTTAGGAAACAAACCCCCTATGCTATTCGACTTGCGCAAACAGTTACTATTCACTTTCAGGGTTAAGTTCTTTATTTGCCCATTACAGACCTACATTGCTCGGGTCGATATCTTGGTACTCCACTTCTTCTTCACCAAGCTTTACTAAGGACACTCTTCGAAGTGTGGTATCGAATGTGGCGGAACGATATTGGGATTTACAATCTATGGCACTTCGACAACATTTACAAGAAAAAATTCTTAGTAAAAGACCCGCCACCAAAATGGAGTTCCATCAATTTCATGTTAACCTTATGCTTGTTTATTCCCGCGAGAAGATATATTTGCGGGAATTTCTATCGTCATATTATAGCAAGTGGTCTCATAGTCTACAGATTGAGGAAGAACGTTAGAATAATATTGCCAGAAGTGAACTGTTTTGCAATTCATATGAAGGTATGAATATTGAGTACAAAGAGCATATCTTTGTTACTTGTACTAGATATTATATTTTAGAGTTACACATAATTTACTACAATTTAGATTATTACTTTAGAGATATTATTAATCTTCGCTCTAGGCACTAGCCAGTGATTCTCTCCTTGGCAGCGAATGGATAATTTGTTTCGTATTTTTTAGCCAGTGGACCCTTCGGGTCCCAAGGGCTTGTTCCATTATCATTACGTGAGACTTTCACATGTACCAATTATGTCTACTTTATGTAAAATACATATAAAAAAAAAATTTAATCATACACAATGTTTATGATAAAGAATATTTAAAGTATGTTGATTAAAAAACTACTTGATATTATCAAAACATTTACTTCGACACAACACAATTCATTTTGCTCGATGGTCCTTTCCAATGGTCCCGCAGTACATCATCCATGTTCTAGTGCAAGTTATCCGGTTACAAAAATTTAATAACAATGAACCCAAAAATGCCGCTGGAACTCAACAATGCTAACAATGCTAGATCCAAAAGGGTCCACCAAAAACCGTGAAAAGTGTTTCTATGAACAAGATATTTACAATTAATCTTTGCATTAAAAGCATCATTCCCATGTTTGATCATGCCTAAGTCCCATCATCAGCTATGAGTGATAATAATTGATACGCGGATGGATGTCTTATCGTAAATTTCTATTGGGTCTACTCGAACTTGTAATGGAATTCTTGTCTTTGGCAAACAGACCATGCGCGTCCGCTGCAATGACGATCCAAACACACCCGCATTTTTATTTCTGATGATCCGATCGATTTGACTCCGACAGATTTAATTTCGATGCGACTGTGACAGGGATCGAGCTATCGTAATGACAAATAGAAAATCTCTTCATCATCATGTTAGTCAGGATAATGAGGTGATGCAAGGGCCGAAACATGAAGACAAACTGCTAATGAGAGACAGATTTGTATTACCAACACACATACCCGAATTCGGTATATGTGTTGGTAATCACTTATGGATGAGGAGCTTCTCTTGAGGCATTTTTGAGTTTGTCAAAAAACTGGTGCACTTCGAGATCCAAGGCCAATCATTTTTGACGTGTTGTAAATTAGTATTAAATTAACAGGTTAGAAGAACTCTTAGTAAGAGTAGCACACTCTTCTAAGATTTGGCACATAAACTTGATGCTTTTATATGTATCAATTTTGTAAATAATAATATTATGGTATTCGGGTGATAAAGCATATTCTTAGACTTTAATATCCTCCAAAATTATTTTTGCATTTAACAATATAAAAATTTGAAGTAAATGAAATAATTTTTTTACAAAAACTATAATCAAACCTAACTAATAAAAATCTTGTGATAACAGTACATAAAAGAGAGACATGCTTTTGACCTAGAGCTAACACATGAGCTCATACTCTTGCCAACTTACGGACAACTCAAATACATTCTTTCAATCTATCTTGTCGTGCGAATACATATCGCCATACACTCTACATCGCTGACATGCTACTCACATACACATACGCACACACATACACACATATAAGGCGCGAGAGAGTACACACTCAAATGTCACAACTTCGAGTGAAACGAACGGGATATTCTCCACTGGAATTCCCGTCGGTCATTTACCCTACTGGCAACAAACCGTCACCGTCACAAACATGAGTCAAGCCCAACCCACTCCACACTCGGAGAATCCAGGTCGACGCAAAGGGGAAAGTCACTCTACGCTCCCTACGCTTCCAGGCTCGACTCGAAGAACTAACGTTCTTCGAGCCGTCCCCGACTCTATACCCCTCGTGACCCGAACCCTAACTTCACGGCTAAATATAGTAAGTGTCTAAACTTCGTGAGCCGACTCGTAACTACATGACAATCTTGATATATTAAGAGTCTCAACTTGTTCCAATTTGTCTTAGTGCAAACTACCACTACAGTAGCATACACATAAGGTGTCATATAATATGTCTAGGCTTGACAATACATCAAGATTTTTTGTCTCACAACAAATACAATTGGAAATAAGTGGAGCTCTAACAGCAAAAGTCGTTAAGGTTATTGCTATGTAGCTATGTTCAATTGTTTCAAAATAGAGACTACTACACTCACCGACATGTTTATCACTCTCTTCATTATAGTGTATATACAGCATCATTTAAGGTGATGTTCTTGTGATATATAGAACATTTAGCATAGATAATTGGATTTACTAAGCAGTGTTATTATTATATATACATATTACATTGTGATGATATTGGGGCTTACTTACTTGTACCGATTGGTTCCATAACTATATTATTTTCTGCCGTTTTCCCATGGTCTTTGCTATTTCACTTGATGACCTATTTATTAAGAGAATTTCACGGATGTTGTTGAGTATTCCACTAAGTGACATCCATGTGTACAGTAACAAAATTTATTCAAAAAATGAGTATCAAGAAATATTTAGTTCAAAATGCAAGTTTGGAAGATTTTTGTGTTTGGAAACCCATTTTTGGTTGATTTTTACTCATCTGGAATTAGTAGATGTATTTCTATAGTAGTACAAAACAACTAGCTAGTATGAATCATATTGTATACGTTTCTTAGATAATATTGGGCAATAAACACGCAAAGTTCGTCTGAAGCTCTTTGCAATAAACGAGAGGATATGTTGACTTCAGGTCACTCTTGGATAAGCAACACCTTTTGCAACCTCATAGCTTTGTGATTGATTTAGCCAAAATTGATAGATTTAATGCAAAACATTTTGCTATGCCAATTTTGGAATAGGGAAATTGGCCCTAAACATGTAAAAGCATTTCTTCAAACTCAACAACATAACCAATCATATTGAAAAGATATTTAGTCAGATCTTTTTAAGATTTGTTACCGTTTGTTTAACACATTTTTTTCAATTGCTTCACTAAATTTGTATTTATAAACTGGAGACATTTTATTGGAAACATCTGTGTTATTCAACTTATATCACTTCTAAAGTTAATTTGGTAATTTTGTTTTGTTTTCTTTACCATTGATTCGCCTAGTTAAAAATTGTCATAATAAATTTGAAAACAAGCATACGTAGATTACTTACAATTATTCTTAGAAAATCTAAAACTATATATGAATTATTCATAAATTTATTAATTAATGTTGGTAAGTTTATCATATTACTCAATAGAAAAGATTAAAACCTGGACGACTATCCTTTCACCAGCCATATACGTAGTATCAAGATGCGAACTTAATTGGGAGATTATTGTAATAGTAAAACATACATTGCTATTGTGATGAATTCTGAACTATTTCATGGAAAACTCTCAGAAGGAGCTTGGACGGGAGTAGATGTCGACTCTACGTGCATGGATTTCACTATCAGTCCACGATGAGAAGAATCCTGTTCCTCCCCGTACAGCCTTCGTGTGCAGCAAATATGGGCAACTTAAGAGTAGAATATTTGCTACCTACAACGTCTAGGTGTACGTCAGGAATGTGGTCCCACACACCAGCTTCCTTGCCAATTTTAGTTTGTTTGTATCGTGCTCTAGATCATAGAATTGTTGCTGAGATCAAGGATCTCAAGACCTCTTCAGGACGTCATTCAAACCTCGCGCTGAAATGATATCGCGACACAATGATGTGAATTGTCCCTAATCAATCCAGAGTTGAATTTTAACGGGGACCGATCTCGAGCTCTCCACTGCAAGCTCTTCACAGGTGACAGTCTTCACAGTTGTAAGTTTTCGTGGACAATTCCCGGCTTCGTTCTATCTCGTACAAGTTTGTTTCAGGGGCCCTTCTGAGTTACACCCACTCTTGGAACAGCAGTTCATCCTTGAGGTTCACCACTGTCATGTCCACCACAGTTTGACTTCTTCTTTGTAGAAAGAGTCGGATCTGCTTTCCTGCGAATTTATCAAAGGATACCGATCCTCACAAATTGTTTCCTGGACCCTCTACAAGGAGATGGACAATCCGATCATTGTCGGGGCACAGTTTTGCTCACCACTACAGGTTCAGCTCACCGTTGCCAAACATATCATGGATTTCAATCACGGTCAATTGGTTATAAGTGATTCCTGTGGCAATGCTCTCTTCAAGCTGTATCAGACAAAAGTGCTACTCAGGGAGCTGACCGTTGTACAGGATGGTGATGACTGTCCTGTAGTCAGCATTCAAAAGAAGGTGGATATGTTCAAGCTCGAAATGTCCTGCATCGTATAAGATTGCTTGTGCCCGGAAGGATTTAGTTTAAGTTTTCATGTGTTTGGATTGTTTCCCGGACCTTGGGAAGATGAGCTTTTGGAGAACAACTGTGATAGCGTGAAAGTCCCATTCAGGTCTTCCCTCTTGATCTTCCCACAGGATCTTCAAAATGGATGATAAACCTCTCACTGTCCTCACGAGAAGTAGTTTTGCAGCTGAGAATTTCAGCATCATTAATCCTCCTGCTAAAACCATCACATTTAATGTCTTACTTCATTTCTTCACTCTCCACGGTCCGAAAAGTTGACAACTTTTTCCACCCACACCAAGTTGATTTGATTCATCCTCACTTATTGTTCTTGGTAGACTTCAATTGTAATCACTTCTCATCTTTCTATATTGTGCAACAGAGTATTTCCTTTCACGATACGTATCAAGTGTATAACAAGGACACCAGCGAGCGGCTGTTTTCCGTCAAGGACAAGCACATGAGGGACAAAGCGTCAGAGACATTCGAGATTGAACTTGAGGACGATCTACAGCCTACCTTTGAAGTGAAGGGTGACTTTGTTCGCCGTAACTACAAAATCATTTACAGAGGCTCAGTCGTGGTCGCAGAGGTGCGTTTTGCTTGACTGGGTTGGTGATTGCTGTCTGTCGCGAGTGCACAACTGACAACTCTGACTGGCATCTTGCATGAAGAGAAGAGTCACAACATTCGCTAGATTCTTTGATGTGGTTATAGGATTCAGCTGTCCTTTCAGTTTGAACTCATGGTCCACGAAATAGAATTTTCACAACGACTTCGATTGTGGCAGTCTCAGGAGCAGTCTTAGCTCAGGCATTTGATGTTTCGCGCATTCATTAAGATGGTGAAAGATGTCCGATAAATGGGATCTGCCTGCCGAATGTGAATTGTACGTGGGACAACGAGCAGAACGTGAATCTCGTCGATGTCTAAGAAAGTGTGGGCTGCGCTTGCTTGCTTGCTTGGTGCAGGTCCAACAAGGTCACATGTCGTTATATTCCGAGGTGACGGGAAAGAGGAAGTACGGGGTGGTTATTCCCCCGAAGATTGACCAGGCCTTCGTTGCTGCTGTCGTGATTATCATGGAAGCCATTCACAATGAAGGTAAAGAGAGAAGTGGCAATTATAGAGACTCTTCAGACTCTGACAGCGATCACTGAGACAGACAGTCCGAAATTCTTCGGACTTCTTCTTGCCCTCTCGAGCACATCTCATCCCGATCTGGTATAGATTCCATATGTAACTAGGTACAATATCTTTCGCTCGAATTTCTCCTCGCGAAATTGTGCAGCACCATGTAATTTTCAACTTTGCAGGCAGCCTTTCGCAATGCTTCTGAAATCTGATCCACCCTGCTTCGGCTATGACACGCTGGGATCGATCTCACTTGTGCTTGTGAGCTGATCAGATCTTACAGTAAACATTCAAATGAGTTAGTTAATCGAGTCGAGTCGTCTAGTACCCAACATGTTCTGCAACCTACGCTCCTGCTCGTTTGTAGGGCGTCACGTTTCATTTCCTTCTCCAGAACTTTCGGGCGGACCCGCTTTTGAGGAGTCAAATTCCTCGAAACTTTCCTCGCTTTTCAGAGGAAGTGCAGAACAAATCGTTCTGTCTTAAAGCAGAAGTATTCTCAGGACATGGCAGGTTGTGTTGCAACTCTCAATGTGACTTTCTGCTGGCCACCGAATGGCTGATAAACAACACGATAGAACATAAACATTGAAGTGAAATTCTCGGGAGAAGCAGCCATGCCGAGATGGAGATGATCGATGGCGGAGGTCCTTTGAAGTGATATTTTTTAGATCGGTCGTAGTAATCACCTCAATCCATGATAACGAGGTAGTTATGTCCAAATTTTGTTGGTGATATTAATTTAACTCTATATACACCCAACACACACCCACTTAGTATAAACCGCACACACCCAAGAAATGCCACCCAAGTAATCGCGCAGCAGTGGTCCACAGAAATGACACCGTGGACCACTTCTTGGGTGTATATACAATAAAATCATTACATTCATATTTTTTCAATTCTAAACTCGAATGTCAACGTCAACTCTACTATGAATGTACTAGCACACGACAAAAATCCTAATGTTTCTGGCAGGATGAATGAAACTACTCGATCAAGTCATCAACCTTAACCGGAAACATTACATCATACAACTTTTTTGAAACCCAAAGATTTTGATACTTTACTTTAACTCCAAAGAGTGATATTTTAAAATGTATTATGATTTGATATAGTGTGTGATAATTTGAAATATCTCAAACCAAATCAAATATTAAGCTCCAATTTTAAGGGGAACTTTGACATCCTCATATACAAGACAGCGTACTCTTGAGATTACATCATGAACATTAGATCTAGATTCAAGTACATCAGATGGTACAAAGATATGTACATCATCCAATGAGATCAATTGGATGGTTGGAGGTGTCCAAAGATATGTAAACCTCCAACCGTCATATTCTCTTCTATTCATAGACGAGGATCGTCATCAAAGTTTAGGTATTTGAGTTTAAACAAATATAGTATAGCCGTCTATACATCAAGTAATACAATCCTATACATTAACTACACTAAATACCAAGTCAACATGCACCACAAACTTATTTCTCGTCACACTAAGAAATCCGAAACTTAGGGTTTGTGTTTAATTTCTAGTTACTTGAACATGAAAAATTAGACCTACGGTTTAAGTTCCAATCATGTCTACTCTCCTGTTTATTTGCTACGTGTTATAAATAATCATTTCATATGATCAAGATAATTCGAGTTAATCAGCATGCTTTCTCTATGTATTTGTGAATGTTTAGCTTGTTTGATATGTTTAAAACATGGCCCTATGATTAAGAAGAAACTCGTAAGTTTTTCCAGATTAAATTCTATCTGAATAACAATAGGCAACCACATGTATAACCTTCAAATAACATCTATCATATGTGCAACACTCCTTATAATCATCAAATGATATGCAGATCTTCTCTCATTCATGTTCACTTTATCTTACTAACCGGTAATGTGAATGTATCGTAAGTACACAATGAAAGTCAACCACGAATCTTGACTAATCATATGACCAATGATCTATTTTGAGTTTAAGCATTGCAATAATCTTGCAATGGTTGAACTCAAATTGGATCATTTGTTGCTCTCTTTCAGTATACTCTATTTCAACATTAAAACAAGATAATGATATCTACACAATTTGGATATATATGATAAATGATAAGAGATCAAGCCCAAAGGATCAAAAATCTGAAAAACACAGTAGTAACAAAATTAAAAACAAGTGAAAATATCAATCATTGGTTAGTGCCAGGAGCACTAGAACAGTAACTAAAGATGTACCCAATATAACAACCTAAGTCAAAAGAAACTAATTGTAATAAAGTTTAGAAATTCTCTGTATCTATATTATGAGCAAATCTAATGTCTTTGTATCTAGTACAAGTAACAAATACATATTCTTCATACTCAATATATATGCCGTCACATAATCTACAAATACATTCACTCCTATCAATATTAAAACAACGTCATTCCTCAATTTCAAACCTATGAGATCCAAATCTATGTTTAGCGATAATACAATGTAAGTACGTAGAGATTCCTATAAGTATATATTCTTGTTCACAATAAACAAGCATAGGATTCACAGCAAGTTGATAAAACTACATCTTGATTATCAAAACATTATAAATGTTTTTCTAGGAAAAAAAATGTATTATTAAAAAATTTAATTTACTTTAAAATGTTCTTGAAGTTATTTTAAAATGAATGGCTTGTAAATTTTTCTATGAAATGCGGAATAAACTTGACTCTTCAAAACATTTGTGAATTGCTTCTTGCTGAACCATGAGTGCGTGTGGTCGTCATCAAGATCTTCATGGTGAGAACTTCTCCGGAAGGGTTGAAGATGCTGCGAGTAAAATGCTAGAAATCCATGTTTGATTCAACGACAAACCGGAGGTTCCATCTAACGAACTATTAATCTGCGAAACGTGCCAAGATTGACGTGTTGGAGCTGCATTTGACCTAGACATCGACAATTTTCTTCAAGGGAATAGTCATGAAACCTTACGTAGCAGAACTGTTGGGCACCAAAGTGTATCCATCGCTTACATCAACCGAGAACAAAATGTTTAACCAATTGATGTTATTGCCATGTATGAGACGGCGTCATACTTCAATTACTTTGACCACTCGGCATGATACACATTCTAGAAGGTGGCCATGTCATTTAGAAGCCGCCAAATCCAACAACAATTATCACCACCTTGTTGCGCAGTATCCACAACAGCCAACAGACCATTGTGTATAAATCATTGGCCAATGTGATGGCGATTATTCTAAAGTTTGACAATGCAATCAACGCCCTGAGCTAAAGCAAGTCAAAACTAATTGTCCAAGATCCACTGCTCCGGATCCCTAACTATGTAATAACATATTTCAAGAATGATTCGGCTGTCGAGTTGATTGGGGACGTGATTAGTGAACTCGAGGCCAAGTTGCAACGTCCAAGAATTGTTTCGGCATTCATCCCCAATGTGTGTAACGTTATGCGTGCGCTGCTTCGTCTTTTGCATGACAACAACATTGTCCAAAAAGTGTACAGGTGCGACGCGCATCCACTAAACAATTTGTGCTAGGAAATACATCCTACAAAGCATATCTCAAGGAAGCACTTTTTGTCAACGAATCCATCAAGAACTATGATCTGTTGTGCAAGATGTATAGTTTTGTTGTGCGATGATGGATTGGGCAAGTTACTCTCCATGATGTTATTTTCACCGTCACGCTGGAGCAACGTCAAATACATGTATTGCCGCTTGAAACGAACCAAACGTCCAATCCAATATCTGCCACGTGCTTGTGATGAAGACAAGGAGAAACTCGACATCAATTTGACCCATGAGTTGGACGACAACTTTTTCGCGACTGTCTGATCTTTGACCTTCTGAAGATTCAATGAATATTGAGGTACTCACTTTGATCCAATCTGCATAGTGCTTGTAATTCTGGAAAACGCCACATCTATCATGTACACCGTCTATGTTGTTTGTTTACGCTTGCATGCAATTGGCGAACATGTCAGCTGAATAAAACGCGTTTGAGCGTCTAGAATACTATTGGAATCTTATTTACTCAGTTGTGCACGAATTGGCTTTCATTTGCGATTTATGCTACTCCCAATTTCAAAAAAATGTTGTCATAAATGCTTTTTGGTCGAGCTCAAGATGGGCGATTTACACGCTCAAGCTTGCAAGACCATCTAGCTTTTGTATCGTAATGACGACAAAGACCATGCGCATGTGATGGCGGATTTAATTGCATTCATCACCATTGAGGCGAAGTTTCTCCTTCTAATCAAGGTCATCATAAAGTATCACCCTCGTCTGATCTACAACCTCCGGGCTGACTCTCACTCAAATTTACCTCATATGCCTTTGTGATAGCTTATCATGGTTCTAGAATGTTAGGATTACTCCTCATACTCATAACTCAAACACACTCTCATGCAATCACTCAATGTATCACTCCAACTCACACACACACATCGACACTCCAAGAGACTGAAAATTGTCATTCTTTTATATATGAAACAAATTTCTACATATGAACTTTCCAAACTTGCTTGAGAGATGCTATTTTACTTCTATATTTATACTAATTGAGAAGTTATTATACTAACAAGTGGTAATTTTTCTTAACTCACTTTAACCCAAGTAAGTTTGCTAACACACTATACGTGACAACATGTCATTGGCCTACTTAAACCTTCTAGAAGTTATCTAAATCCGAGGTTGAGATGGCGACATGCCATTAGAGGTTTTAAAACTTCTAAAAGCTTCCTAGCCACTAACTCAACATTAGACTTAATCTAGCCAATCATTTTTCATACATTTAGTCAAACAAATCAAATTCAAGCTAATAGTCAAATATCTTATACTTTGGAATCTAAACCTTTGTAAAAGACAAAATAGAAGTGCTCACTCCACTCTTTTAGAACTTCGCTAATTATTCCGCCAACTATAGACACTATAGCTAAATTTAGTCATGATTAGATAAACTTAGTTATAACTAACTAATTTGGTCATAACTAGCTAGACTTAGCTATGTTTTGGCTAATTATGATTAATCACTTGACTATTTCTATAACTTAGTACAGATGTGCGACATCCGGTCTCACAAATCGAGTACGTGGAATAGTGACTTGTGTTTTTACTTGAGTTGAACAAGAAGGTTGTTACTTGATTCGATTCTGGTGTGATGCACATCAACTTGATCTTGTTGTTCAAACATTTATTTCAGTATATCTCAACAAAGAATTTTACTTGATGTTAACTGTCATCATTGGATACCTATGTCGACAGCAAAATTTGATCAGTGAAATGCGAACTAAGTATCCAAAGGTCGCTACGACTCGTTGGTTATCGTTGTAAAAAGTATAACGTTGATTTTCAACTCATCGTTACCATATTGTTGAATACAAAAACCTGAAAAATTTTGATTTGAAACCGACTGTCATGTGGTGAAATGCTTTATTTTCATTGATCCCAATAGTTACAGAGATTGACATTTTGTTTAAAACCTTGCATCATTATTCTACGTTGCTGGTCACACAATAGTAAAATGCTTTCTCTAGATTCATCTCTTATCTTAGGTATGTGACAGAAATGCAAGGTACATTTTTTGAATTGCTATTTTAGTAACAAGATGAGGATATTTGATGTACTAAAAGTTTTTACAAGATTTCCAAGAATGTTATTGTGCACTTTGATCGAGGTTGTGGTTTGTTCATTGAGATTTCATTCAATAAACTGTGTCAAGTTGAAAAGGATATTGTGGTTTGTTCTGTTGGAAATTTGAATGTTAGTATTGCAGCAGGAATACATGCAATAAAGACATAAAAGTATTGTAACAATGCACCAGCATCATCTTTAACCCATGTCTTCCTTGCAAATTCGTGACTATGTCTACATCAAGCTTCGTGGACTTGATCAAATTTTCATCGATGAGTACATTGACAGCTTAGAACGAGAACACAAACAACTGAGTATTGTTTATCAAGGAGAAGATATATTCCATAACACAGTGTATCAAATGTCAATAGACTTTCATGAAGCATGGAATGCTCTTGAATGTAGATTTTCCAAACTATGCAAGTTTGCTAAAGTATATCGTAGTATAACGCGTGTGGAGAGTGATTTTTCTATGATTAGTTGGAAGAAAGAGAGTACATCTTGCATGCATTGTAAACAAATTAAGGAAATTCAAGCAATTTAAAATAGTGGTCATATATAAAATTATGTTGATATCATAATAGACTAATTTATGAAAGATTTGGCAAATGCCTTAACAGAAGACTTGTGATACTTTATAAACATGATCATTGATCACTAAAAATTACTCAAGTAATCATGATGCCAGTTTTTCTAAAATATATATATTTCTGAACATTTTTTGAATTTCAACGTTATTTTAGAATCATTTTTAATGATTCATTTTAAAATCATTAAATTAGAATGTTTCAATTATCTTAATGACACGCCAACTAATGTTCAAGAACTACTACTCCAATATATAAATATAGCTCTAAGATTCTAATATGTCATAATTTAATTCATCAAATAATTAGATATAGGTCAATATAGATCCCATGAGCAAAGCATTACCACATTATCATCTATTGACCAACCCTTTACGACATGAATTTGTTAGGAATCTATTAGTGTCAGATTGAATTTACTAGTATCCTAGAGATCACCTTGGACCTCAGCAGTAGTCTCGAAATAAGAGGTCGATGCCAAGCATGAACATGGTATGGAACTCATTGTTCAAATTGTCTTCAAGTTGATGAGGAATAACCACGTTAGTGAGCCTCCAATATCATGACTTACACTGAAAATCCGTCCTTCCCTCATCCAAAAACTTTGGGTTCCCGGGGCAAGTATGAGCTATTCCGCCGAAGAGTGTCATCGAGATAACGACTATGATTCATAGTTTGAGCAAAACACAAGGGTTTTAGACTTTCTCTTAAGATGAACGCAATCGTCACAGACGACAGTCACCCAACGTGCTAGATCTTTCCTTTCTAGATTCTTCTTTCGGCTGAAGATTCCCGAGATTCCATCAGAACAACGTCCGTCTCATACAGCAAAATTTTGTAGCTGAACTACCTACAGGAGTTGAATACAGTACTCACTTGCGTCAATGTGCACAATCAGTCCAGTTTTTCTTCTGGTTCATACTTCGTTTAAACAAGTTCACGACCATCGTTATTCACTTAGTTCAATGACAAAAGTCGTGTGCCTCTTAATCACCGACTTTTGAGCTGTATGATGGCTGCACACATACTAGCATGATTACACTGGATGTCTTGACACAAGAAAGTCTAAAAAAATTGCGTTGATAATTTGTAACTGCTTACGGTGCGGAGCGTTTCGGGCAATGAGAATCAACGGCACGAAGTGAAAAGACAATCAAGACTTACCCACAAGTCTCGATATGACATGATACTCCTAATACGAGCAGTTGCAATTTGTGTATATATAAAGGAAACTTCGCAAAATTAAAATATAAATTGACATCAGACCTATTCCAGCTCTTGCTAAACATATCCTTTACCAAATCAATAGACGCTCGGACAGTTTCAGTCGGCTAAAGAGACTGAAACCTTTCGAGGACTTGAACATAAGTACAGCTACAGAAAGAGAACCAACCTGATATCAGAGTCGATGCATAACACAATCATGAACCCACAGACGTACTGTTAAACGGTGGAAAAATAGCTCCAAGAGGGGTTTAGGGTTTAGGGTAGGGTGCAGGTTAAAGAACAAATCCTGTTTTGGAAGTCAAGAAGGACAAAGTAAATATTCATGCAGTTTTATGTGCTTGCTTGAACACATGCTACGGAAACAAGAATCATCCACAAACTCAGCCTGCAAATCAGTGATCGGGAATTAAAAACCGGCTGATGATACTGGTGTTTCTTTCAAAACCGAAGGCCATGAACTGGCCTGTAACATGCTTGCAAAAATTCCTTTTTTAATATCTAGCCAAGAAGAAGTGCTGAGAATCCAACCTGCTATAGAGTACAAGTACCTCTGCCTTGCTTCACTATGAGTCCAAATAAGGTAATGAATACCCGGAACCTTCAATACATTATCTCGTGATGGATAAATTTACGTAAAGAATAGGACTCTTAAAAACTTGAGTTCATTGCCAATCAACTGTGCGAGATACGAACAAGAAAACGAAAATAAAGATTCATGTGACTGGATAGATGGGAGGCAACAATAAGTCAATTTGACAAGTTAAGACACTCCATATGTTCATCAAGGAAGAAAAATAAAACTGGGTATCACTATATACCATCAAAGACGCCTATTCTGACTAAAGGTGGTTTTATTCAAACGGTTTACCAACTAGGTTCGAAGAAGGAAAAGCTACAATCACAAGTAATTTGCGAATGCTTTTCAAAGAGAAAGCACAAACATCCTATTCCAGCACACCACTGATCACAATTAGATCGTCATGCTTGGCTACACAAATACTCTACAGCTTCATTGGGTGAAAGAAGAGGAGTCTTGTCAAAGTCAAGATACCCCAAGTTGAAGTCGATCAGAGGTATCAAGTTCCTACTCCATCAATCTCCACCCTCAGCGACTAGGTCTGCCTTTGATACTCTTTGGCTGGGGCACACAAGATCAAGTGACCGGACAAGACTCGCAGGTGGACATCGCAGGTTACCAGTAGCAATGATGAGTGGAAACTACTACGCTTGCGATAGAATGGGGTATTAACATGGCTCCCGGGAACTTTGAATTCCCGATTGTCCAAACACTATAATGATACAAGCTTACCGCTGCCTAAGGGTGAACGCGAAGAATTTCATTGATAAGCAAATAGAATCTCACTATAGAGCCATCTCGGCTTGTAGGGCTGCAAGCTCATCATCCTCGGTTTTTGCAGGCTGTCGCTGGGCAGGTGTTGACATAGGACGACTTTGAGTAGGAACAGTTGGTAACTGCGTTGCTGGGGTAGTCGCGGGTTGCAACAATGCTTCCTCAAGTTCGGCTCCTTCGAGTTCCTCAAGCTCGGCCTCCAGCTCATCCTGAAATAACAACAATTTGACAGGAGTAACATCAGACAAATATACCTATTAAATACCTAATCATCATCGCTCAACCTGTTGTCAACAAATTAACATGCCCTCGCTGGAGCAAATCAGATCGATGATCGATAGAGGAGTAAACGAGTGGCACTCTACAATGTTTTTGTCTCCCAACCGCAATGTAGACTTCCAAGGACAACTTTTAGAGGTGGATAAGATTTTGTTGTCTTCATATGTTCCATTCTCAGCTGTGAAGCACAACATTTCAAATTCTTCCCAAAGAAAAAGTAGCACAGAGGAGAATACAGGTACTGTACATCGTCAAAATCAGCAGCAGCTCCAATTGGAGTAGATAAAGCTTCTTGAATTTGCTTCATATTCTCAGTCTGCTCGTTGATCTCATCCATAGTCTTATCGACATCGTCTATGTTTCTGCGTCACCATTTGAAACACAAACATATTTAGTTGGTTTACTCAACTCAACATCTTTCGATTCTTCACAGCACCATCGGATAAGAATTGGAGACAACGAAGCTAAAATGTCAGAACAAACTAATCCAAATGCACACTATACATTGTCAGATGCAAGTACGGAATACGTACGTGGCTTTTTGCATATTTTTCATAGCCGATGCACCACTCCTTAGAGCATCGACAGTTTCAGTAGTAGCCTTGGCCCCTTCCAGCATGATCATCTGCAAAATATAACACAAATCACGCCCAAAATAGGAATTTCTCAGAGGTTGTTCGTCCAAACCATCCTTCTCATTTTAAGGCAGACATTTCTGAAACTCAAGAAACAAGCAAGAAGACGTAAAATTTGATTACCGAATGGAATGAAGAGTACCGCCAAAGCAAAATGGTTTCAGGAAGAAAACGAACCTGATCGTGAATTCGCAACTGAAAGTTACCAAGCTGTTCCACCTGGACCTCATAAAGCTTTTTCTTCTTCAAACACTGGATCGCAGCTGCACACCCATGAACACTATCCCCACCATTACTTTTCAACAACTAGAAGTAGAGGCAAGCTCGTTCACTCCCGAAAAGATTGAATTCTACAATTAATATTGACCCTACTCGCAGATGATATGATTATCCTCAACAGCTGACTGGCACACCAAGTGTGAGAACCTTTGCACCCTCTCGACACGCGAGACTTTCATTGATCCAACTTCAAGATTGTAAATAAGGATATGCGTCGACCAACCCATGAAATGAACCAGACCAATTATCAACATATACACACTTAGTCAAAAATACCTCGGAAACAGCTAAGCAACTTCGTACCATGCAGAACACACTCACAGTTTACACCTAATACTGATGAGTTACTGCTGCAGGATATGACGAGAATCGTTTCCTCGTACTAATTGGCACAATCCAATCAGAAATCATTGTTGCTTTGTTCAGCGTTCATACCCCTCTTATTCTTCGCCCGAGTGTAATCTCTAGCTTTTTCTATCTCTACAGCTATTTTCTTCTGCAAGACCTTTTCCTTCTTTTCGAGCATCTCCAAAGTCTGCATACAAAAGCGGGGGCCCAAAACATCCTGAGTTAAAATTCGCACCAAAAAAATACCTCTGTCAACTCGTGATTCAAGTATTGAAACATGCCCATGGATCTGTACTGGAAAATTCCGTTATCTTTCTCGGATTGACGATCATTGAAACGGTCGGAGATTCAAAGAAATCCGAACTCTGTGATCCCATTGCCGTTTCCTTCTAAGAGAATCATGCCACTGACAATATCCTTGCGTGCACTCCACCCAGAAGCAAATAGGTTCTGGCACAAAAGATAATTCTCCGAGCAATCCACCGAATTCCTCCACTATAGTGAAGGTGCCTCTCTTCGGGCGAAATCATTAAGAGAGGTAAAATCAGCCGCCGAAGCACAGCTTGATAACAATCGCCACCCTTCCTAGAACCTATATAATCCGTACTGCTTAAACACTTGTCGAACCATCCGCAAGCGCGGAGACTCCTAAGTCCTTCCTGCCCTATCTCCATGATGCCCTACAAGCCCTCACCACTTGAAAATTTCCGGTACAAGTAGCACTTATTCACATCGTCCTTCAAAATCAATCCTCTGTCCACTACTGCGTCCGCCCACAACGATAAACGAGCAAACCGAACATCCTGGCAAGACAGGAGGTGAACGCGGAGCGAGAACTGGCCAACACACCGATCTCCTGCGAAGATGAACATGGGTCGTATCCGCTGTTCACACAACCACAAAGCGATCAAAACACAGAACAAAAGCGTAACCAACCCACCTCATTTAGTTTGTCGAGCGTGCTGAGCGTCGAAGGTTCCTCCTTCGGTTTCCCGAAAATCCGAGCGAACATTTTGAACGCCTAGTTACACCCACACTTCTCTCGACTGCTTGTCTGCCCTCCTGCTTCTGCTGCGTCTACAAATCCTCACCCTTCCTCGCCTGGAGGCAAACGACAGTTTTCTCAATATAACGCTCCTTCACTCCTCCCACAATTTGCCTTGCCCAACCCTCGCTGCCGCTGATTGCACGACACACCAAAATCTCGTCACACTCGAACTCACACAGACTGTACACTCGCGAAAGAGAGCAAACCAATTCAGCGGAACCAGATCGGAGATCAGGGAAAATCACAGATCGGAACGAGACTGCTACAATGACGCAGACGACGAGGAGGGAGAGAAAAGGTGACACGGAAGCAAAGGCAGTGAACAGAAGAACCCGTAGACATCAACACGTTCTCACTCATCATCATCTGCCATCCCCCTCCTCCTCTTCCTCCTTTCTCCCTCCCTTCCTTTTCCTTCTCCCTCCCAGGGTACCTGTCCCTCCCTCAATCCCTGCCTGCCTGCCTGCCTGCCTCCCAGCAGTCTAAACTCAGCATCACAGTGAAAGTGCCATGTACATGTACCCCATTACATTACAGTACATGGATAGCTGCTGCACAGCAAGTTGGACCTGGGCAGAGTATTTTTGTTTGTTTGACTTCCGTTCCAAGCAAACCCTAATGACCTCCCCGACCTCTTCGTACAAGAACTCGGCTCTCCGCCCGATCTCTGGTTCGAACCCTGTGACCCTCTTCTCTTCTGTCTGTCGAGGTCCCGAACTGCGGAAGATTCTCGGTGCTCTGTCGTGTCCTAGTCTGCCAGAGATATCGGCGATCTCTCGTCAGCGACAGGTGTGACCCGAGGTTCTGGAGGCGCAGATTCGCCCGGGCCGCTGGCAATTTGCTTCTCGAGTCTCGACGTTCTTCAGTGTTGCCCGACCTTCATGGCATTTATTATGGCGTCGCTAAATAAACTGGTAGCGTCACTACGTGGTTGATGCAACGTACAGTACTGCACCCTGGCACTTCTTCTCCGGCGTACGTGCTCTGAGGCTGATAACCTCAGGTGTCGTCCAGTTCATTAGATTCAGCGTATGTACAAAGGGTTACAGCCTGCACCGTACAAGAACACTCAACTTGACCATACAGGAGTACGGCTTGAGCCCATCCTTTTGAAAAAACGTGAAAGGAATATTGTATTCCACTCTTGACCTTTTACCCGTCTCGTGTTCTCGTGTTCTCGCAGATATACACATATTTGACCATTTGTGCTGTGGTTCAATATCAGATCATTGACATGATTTTAGTTTATAAAATAAAAAAACTGACAGAGATTTCGGTTAGTTGTTCACTCTTTGCACGCTTAATATCATACCACTTGGATTGTAGATAGATGTGTAATTTGCAATTCTTTGCATGTACATTCGCAGCATACAATGAATGTCTCAGATACAACTCCAGTAATTTTGTTACTCTTAGGTTGGATCACAGGCCCTTCGTATGTCTTGATAGACAAATAATTTTAAGTTTTACATTTTTTTAAATTCATACGGTTAATATGTGTAGCAATAAAGGCATTCTGACTCTCTCTAATTACGTTTAATATGGATGAAGTTGTGATTTATCTACAAAAACCCATCTATATCTATATTATTTGATATTGTGTTTCAAAGTTGCAATATGTATTTATCGTTTGATGCCATTTGTGCCCCATTCGCTAACAGCGTATTCGCACCATAGCTACATTTTGCTAAATGCATTTAGGTTGTGCAACTTTGAAATAATTCAGCCTGAGACAAGTTGATTGCACCAAGTCACAAATGTATTGTTGCAATTCATACACCTAAAAAAATCTGGAATCAATTTGATTCCAATATGCATACATAAAGTAAAGAGACTTTGATAATACTAATTCAAGCTGTATACTTTAGAGATATTATATTACTCATAATATAGCCTTAGATTTATCATTTTGCAATTGTCATTCAAAAAATAATGTAATTTGTATTATTCACCCAATTTTTTTGAACTAAATTTTACTTCATTTTTAAAATATTGAATATTTTGATTTTTCATTTTACTATTTATACATGGAATATTTCTCTTGAAATGTTATCATTAGACGAATATCAGAAAATTTCAGAATTTTCAAAATTTCAAAATTAATTAAGCCTTGTAAAATCCAAAATCAAATTATTCACAAAATTTAGAGACAAAATTTTAGAATGAATTTTATTTAGATACATACTAGAAAAATTCTTTATTTCTAGATTTTCAATCTAATTTTAATCTTAGTTTTACATAAACTTTAAATTTTTTTCATAAATTTTTGATAATCATAGATTGATTATCAATTGAAGAAAGATGTAAATTGAAAATAAAGTAAGAGTTTTATTCCTTTGAAAATCGAACTGTTTCTTACAAAATTAAAATATTTTAATGCCAATCACCAAAATAAAATATTGACATCATGGACACATTAGATTGTATAAATATATCATTTTCATTCTACAAATCTTTTCAACCCCTAATACAAACAAAACAAAAACTTTACAAATTTTTTATATTTAATGAATATACTTGAAAGTATTTTAAATGCAATTCAGTAAATATTTTAGAAAATGTATCTAATCTTCAGTTCAAATATTATTGACTACTGCATTTAATATTTTTGTAATAGATAGAAAAAAATCTATAAAATATATTGTATATTCTATATGAATATAGAAAAGAAAATATTCTATATTATATAAATAATTAGCCTATATTCTATAAATATATTCTTATATTCTATATAAATTGATAGAAAAGAAAATATTTCATTTCTATCAATTATTTTTTTCTATAATTATAATATAATATCATTCACAAAAAAATTAAACTAAATGAATTGGGTTTCTTATTAGATTTGTTTACTAAATTAAAGGATTGAAGAATTTTCTAGCTACAAATTCTCTTTAAGTATATAGGGTATTAAATGGTTTGCAAGTTTTTATATAAAATAATTTGTTAATACCAAAGAAATTATGGATGCTCACATTCAACATCTTTTATTAAGCTCAATCAATTTGACAGATTAAGACAAAAATTATTCTCAATAATTTTGGTATAATGTATTTATTTTTAAAAATTATATTTTTGATAATCAAAAAATATATGTAAAAAATATTTTAAAACTCAATATAAATCAACATGTTTGATTGAAAACTAAAAAATATATAACTCAAACATATAACTAAAAAAATATTTTAAAAGCTCATATGAGATACTTAAATGTAAATTTTATGGTTTGAAAATATTTGAAAATTTTTTAAAAAAATTATTTTTATTTATCTCTAGATAACAAAAAAGAAAAGATGTATTATGCATCACAAAATTCTAAAGAGGAATGATAACAGAAGATTAAAAATTTTAAATTTATCATATTATTATTATTGATAATGTAGTTTATAAAAATCCAAATAAATCTTTACTATAGTAAAAAAACTTATGAAGATCTTAAAAATGAAGCTCAATTTTTTTTCATAAAAAGGTTTTAGAATTATAAAATTCAATTTTTTTCTATAAATTTATTAAAAATTCTATTATTAAGTTTATTATCAACTTTAAAATATTGAAGTTAATTAAACTTTAGAGTTAATTTTTATTATCTCCTACTACGTACTGCTTGTGGGAATCAATTTCCACACAGTTCCAGTTTTGTACCAACAAACCGGACAAAAGAAATAGATAAGAACTAGACTAGGTAGTATTATGCTAGAATTAGGTTAGTACAATACAATTAGGAGTTAGATGTCCCACAGAGCTACTTAAACTCAAATAGCGGCTAAAGGAACGTGCCAGAATCCAACTTGGAAAAGGACGACAAAACTTTGGAGCTGAGTACTACCGGAAGCGGACGGTTTGGAGGAGAAGAAGCCTCTCAAGAAGCTTCTCCATGGATATTTTTGCCCCCGACCGAAACCCAGACAGTGCGCTGGAAGTCATCATTAGGATTTAGGATTTGGGGTCGATACGAGCTCAGGTCCTCGATCTCCGGGATTTTCCAGTGAGTATTTTTTTGGATAAGGTTATGTAGAAATTAATATTTAGAGCTAATCGACTTAGTAGTTTAGTATCTTGTTTTATGTGTGGAGTTTGTGTAATTTCCAACTAGCAAAGAAAAGTGTTTCTCTTGTGACATGATGCAAGTCATGAGTCTAGCGGCAAGGTTCATTGTGGAGGAATGTTGTATTTCTTCTACTTTGTTTATTTTCTCGTAGATATATCCGGAGTATAGCCGGTTGGGACCGATAGTAGGAGATCGCCGGAGGCGGATGCATGCGGGAGAACCTAGTTAGATCCGGAAGTCTGAAGTAGGTTATACACATTGCGAGGTGTTCCAGGTGGTCTCTAGGACACAGTTAGTCATATTCCAAATTCTGAGCTAAGGTCGGAATTCTCATCAAAGGGGTAAAAGCATGTGAAAGTAGGTAAGGCGCAAATGCCTAACTATTGTGTAGCGGGTTAGGAGATAGTGGGTTTCCGGTCACTTAAAACATACGAGGCAGTGAGGCTCTGGTCACTTCAAATATCCGGGTCAGTGGTGAAACCGGCCGCTCTAAATCAATCGCTCAGTGGTCCCAACCACTTGTTTAAAACTCTAGCAAAAAGTTTCAGTTTCATGTTCATCCGGATCCGGAACAATCTGGGTCATTGTAACATCCGTACAGCTTCTGGAAGTATGAGAACTTTCGATCGGGTTTAGAAAAAAAACAATAGATTTCTATGGGAACGAAACTGCAATGGTTTACTTTGGAGCGCATTTATCGCAGATTAGATGCAATCCAAAGGAATATTGATATGCAAGAATGCTACACTGCACTAAGTATGGCTCAAGTATGTATGTTCACACTATATTAGTTTGTAACACTTGATTCTTGAAAATTTAAAAAATGCATGAAAATTTTAATTTATCATATAAATACTTATTATAAAAATTAGTTTTATTATTTTAATTAATTTTTTGTGTTAAATTCTTAGAAATGAAATTTTTTTTAATGAAAATTATAAACAATAAAATTTTCAAATTTATTTAAATTTAATTCATTTTTGTTTGAATTTTTTATTGGCACCTGTTGCTAGAGGCAATGGATTTTCTACGTTTGGTAGAGGAATAATCAATCACTCTCTCTCTAAGTAACCCTAAGGATATTTGCACATATACTTTGAGAACAAAACGACGATAAAAGTTCTACCTCAAAACCCATATTGAAAAATAAAGTGAAGAATGATTCGGATGTAGACATGGTTCTTTATTAAATTAAATAAATTCAATAATTATTTAAAGAAATCGAGTTATTTTTTGAAAACAAAAAAGAAACTAGAATACTTTTAAACTGTTAGATTTTAATCAATATCTGAACATAATTTTTATAATATTTTATGATACAAAATCATATGAAACAGAAATTTATATAAATATAATAATTATTGAAAAGTGATAAATTTTTTATATAAATATAATTTTTTAATATCAATATAATTCATACATTGCAATTTTAAAAGTGTCA